TCGTTAACGCTATACAGAGATAAGTAGTGGGGAATGCCTCCTTAACGCTATAGAGAGATAGATAGTGGGGAATGGCTCCTTAACGCTATACAGCTAAATGTAATGGGGAGTGACCACTCAACGCCATACAGAGAAATGTGATCGGGAATTACCCCTTAACGCTCTACAGAGAAATGTGATGGGGGTGACTACTTAACGCTATACAGAGATAAGTAATGGGGATTCACTCCTTAACGCTTTACAGAGAAATATAATGGGAAATGACTCCTTTACGCTATACAGAAAAATGTGATCAGGAGTGACCACTTAACGCTATACAAAATGTAATGGAGAGTGACTCCTTAACGCTACACAGAGAAATTTGATCGTGAGTGCTCCTTATGGTTATACAGAGAAATGTAATTGGGAGTACCTCCTTCACGCTAAACAAAGAAATGTGGTTGGAAGTGACTCATTTACGGTATACAGAGAAATGTGATCGGGAATTACCCCTTAACGCTCTACAGAGAAATGTGATGGGAAGTGACCACTTAACGTTAACGCTATACCGAGAAATGGAATGGGGAGTGACCACTCAACGCCATACAGAGAAATGTGATCGGGAGTGACCCCTTAACGCTATACCGAGAAATGTAATGGGGAGTGACTCCTTAACACTATACAGATAAATGTAATTGGGATTGACTCCTTAACGCTACTCAGAGAAATTAATGGGGAGTGACTTTTTAACGATATACAGAGAAATGTAATGGGGAGTTGCTTTTTAATAATATACAGAAAAATGTAATGGGGAGTGACCACTTAACGCTTTTCAGTGAATGTAATAGGGAGTGACCACTTAACGCTTTACAGATAAATGTAATAGGGAGTGACTCCTTAACGCTACTCAGAGAAATTAAAGGGGAGTGACTCCTTAACGCTATACAGCTAAATGTAATGGGGAGTGACCCCTTCACGTTATACAGAGAAATGTGATCGGGATTTACTCCTTAACGCTATACAGAGGAATGTGATCGAGAGTGACTCCTTTACACCTTGGCTTACAATGTAGATGTAGCTCTAGCAAACAAGACTTACACAATCTTCATGATAAAACGCTTGATCAAACATGCAAATTGTTAAAACAACCATAAAATCTGTCTCGTGTCATCAAGTTCACTTTCAAGAAAGACTGCTTTCGTGGGGTTTCTTTTAAACGAGTCTTACAATGTTCATAGGTATACCGTAACCCATATGGAGATGCACTGTAAGTATTATCGAACAAAACAAGCTTAGACCGACAAAAGTCACTAGAGTTTACTGGTCAGGAGAGCGGGCGAAAACTTCTTAAACTAATCGACTTCCTTCTGAAAAGAGGTGTGTTCAGATAAGGTTAAATCGCGCTTTGTTCTGGTTTAACCAGTCTTACAGACGGCAAAAGAGGAAAGAAATCAACTGCAAAATTGATATATAGATGCTAATGGCTACTGTGCTCCCAGGAGTATCGGACCCTTTTCAAGAAGAAAAAATCTAATTATTGCGCTCATCAATGATTCACTTTACGATTCCAGTTTTAACTCGACCACAAATAGAGCTTCCTGTTCATCCTCTCATGTTATGACCCTCAATTGGTCTTGAAATAATCCGGAATCTTCTCACGATAGCAGGTTTTGAATATTTTGAATAATTGAATTATGTCTTCAAGCGATTTTTGAGAATTCCAACATCTGTTCATGTATCAAAAGAAAAAGGGTTGTATTATAGTATACATGTACATGTATTTATATTAAACATAGCGATGTTCAACCAAGCCTGATGACCCAGCTATATTTAAATTACTTTTTTCCGTGTTTCTTCGTTGTTGAGGTAATCTCATGGAACGATACCGTTTTTACAGAATTAGCCTCCAATTGCAAGTACATGTACCTATTTGTCCTGGTGGGCTGACTATAGTGTAGGAATTTTGAAAGAAGGTCATTTTACTGTGCCGCAGTTGAATTGTGGGACATTTCTAAAACGAATTGTAACTATACAATGTATAAATACAAAATACTAGTGATTTTCCGAACGAGCTTGTTGATGTTGCTCACTGTCTTGTTTGGGTTAATTAACAGATATATGTACCAGAGTAACGGGAAAGAAAAAATAACAGGCCAGACACACATTTAACCAAGGGAACTGCGATCTTTAAATGGATCTGGTCATCGGCAATCGACCCATTCCAGCCGCGATGGCGTCTGACTGTCTGCGATCACTAGACCTCCACCACTGGGTAACTGGTGCAAGGCCTACGTAGGGGAAGTCGCCAGGTCCTGGTTGCAGGTCAGTGGTTTTTCCACGGGGACTCCGGTTTTCCTTCACCACAGAAATCTATAAATAGGACGCTAAGCACGCACCAAACCTATTCCAACAAAGGATGAGAGGGGTGCAATTTTGGTAGAAATACAAACTTAAGTAATTAAATACACAATCGATACATACAAATGTATATAACCTTAGTGAAGTACAGAGGGCATTACCTGACAGGGATATATACCCTTAATGAAGTACAGAGGGCATTACCTGACAGGGATATCTACCCTTAATGAAGTACAGAGGGCATTACCTGACAGGGATATATACACTTAATGAAGTACAGAGGGCATTACCTGACAGGGATATCTACCCTTAATGAAGTACAGAGGGCACTACTTGACATGGATATCTTCCCTTAGTGAAGTATATCTCAATGCAGATTGATGTACACATTATCTGAATTTTCTGGAATGACATTACAGCGTTGATTGAATCACACCTGCGTTTGTCCATTATCTACTGAAGACTTGGATTAGACAACACAACCTAATCGTTTTGACCGGCATCATGTACAGTACACACATACATGTACAATTACGTACAATGTTTAAAGATTAGCAAAAGCTGCAGCGATGTATTGAAATAGTTCGATTACCTATCTATTTTTGTTTCCCTTTTACATTTAAATTGCTATCAGACCGCTGCACTGAACGTTGCGAGTCTGTACCGGCCATTGATGTGAAACACGAGAGATGTATTGGGCTGTCACATAGATGCAGACAGTAATCGGGTATTTACTGATTAATACATATGTGAACATAAAGGTCACTTAGAACAAAAAGATACAGAGATTTGTTAAACCATTCATTTCAAGGATGTAAATTTATAAATACATTTAACTCAATATGGCGACGTTCGGAGTTTCTCGTGTCACACCCATCACCTTTTATCCTCGGTTAAACGGATTTTGTAAGCTCGAGAAAAGTTCTAAAACAGGCAATCTTAGGGAGCTTATGAAATAGTCATCAGACACGATTTGATTACCTTCAATCTGACGTCATTTTCACGAAAGTAACATTTAGAAACGGAATCAGAATTCCGAAGTCGCGACACCAGATTATTTGCGTGTATATGTACGAACCTTGCGGAATTGAAATCAATGCTCCGTTCTATTATCGACTTGACGAAAGCCGATGGGCGAAATCAGATTATTCAATATTCTAGCATGATCTGATTATATTTATCTAGACTGTTCAAGTGGGTATTGAATATGAATTGAAAATGATGCCCGGATCAGTTTTAATTGAACTGGGTGTATAATTGCATCAGTGGCGCTTTTATATCGATGTAACTCAGAGATCGATCTTTTACATTTGGGTTCTTGTATTCTTTTGATAAAAGTCAAATGTAATAAATACACATCGACACTTGGTACATGTATTACATGTTTCATGGCGAATTTGCCGGCAGTCAGTACAAATGTAGGTCACGTTACTTTGTAAAAGGGACAGAGTGGGAAATTATTCCACAAGGACCGAACAATGACAATTCCCCCATCTGGCATTGACATGTATCCTATATGTACATGTGCATGGAAACACCTTGGCCCTCTGGTGTCAGTATATAATGTGTACACGGGGACCACGACGCCCTCTAGTGTCGATATATAATGTCTACACGGGGACAACGACGTACTCTAGTGTCAGTATATACATTTTTGTAATGTCTACACGGGGATCACGATGCCCTTTAGTGTCAGTATTCATCGTGTACACGGGGATCACGACGCCATCAAGTGTCAATATATAATATGTATACGGGGACAACGACGTCCTCTAGTGTCGATATATAATGTGTACACGGGAACCACGACGCCATCCGGTGTCAGTATATAATGTGTACACGGGGGCCACGACGCCCTCTAGTGACAGCGGGGATCACGACGCCATCTAGTGTCAATATATAATGTGTACACGGGGACCAAACGTTTTCAATATGGCGCTGACTATCACTTCCTCTGTATCGTCAATATACAATATGGCGCTGACTGTCACTTCCTCTGTATCGTCAATATACAATATGGCGCTGACTATCACTTCCTCTGTATCGTCAATATACAATATGACGCTGACTGTCACTTCCTCTGTATCGTCAATATACAATATGGCGCTGACTATCACTTCCTCTGTATCGTCAATATACAATATGGCGCTGACTGTCACTTATTTGTATCGTCAATATACAATATGGCGCTGACCGTCACTTCCATTTCATCTGTATCGTCAATATACAATATGGCGCTGACTGTCACTTCCTCTGTATCGTCAATATACAATATGGCGCTGACAGTCACTTCCTCTGTGTCGTCAATATACAATATGGCGCTGACTATCACTTCCTCTGTATCGTCAATATACAATATGGCGCTGACAGTCACTTCCTCTGTGTCGTCAATATACAATATGGCGCTGACTTTCACTTCCTCTGTATCGTTAATATTCAATATGGCGCTGACAGTCACTTCCTCTGTGTCGTCAATATACAATATGGCGCTGACTGTCACTTATTTGGATCGGCAATATACAATATGGCGCTGACAGTCACTTCATCTGTATCGTCAATATACAATATGGCGCTGACTATCCCTTCCTCTGTATCGTCAATATACAATATAGTGCTGACCGTCACTTCCTCTGTATCGTCAATATACAATATGGCGCCGACTATCACTTCCTCTTGTCGTCAATATACAATATAGCGCTGACCGTCAATTTCTCTGTATCGTCAATATACAATATGGCGCTGACTAGCACTTCCTCTGTATCGTCAATATATAATATAGCGCTGACCGTCACTTCCACCTTATCGTCAATATACAATATGGCACTGACCGTCGCTTCCTCTTTATCGTCAATATACAATATGGCGCTGACCGTCACTTCCTCTGTATCGTCAATAAACAATATGGCGCTGACTAAATAATGTATCACTTCCTCTGTATCGTCACTATACAATATGGCGCTGACTATCACTTCCTCTGTATCGTCAATATACAATATGGCGATGACTATCACTTCCTTTGTATCGTCAATATACAATATGGCGCTGACTAGCACTTCCACTGTATCGTCAATATACAATATGGCGCTGACCGTCACTTCCTCTGTATCGTCAATATACAATTAGGCGCTGACTATCACTTCCTCTGTATCGTCAATATACAATATGGCGCTGACTATCACTTCCTCTGTATCGTCAATATACAATATGGCGCTGACCGTCACTTCCACTTCCTATGTATCGTCAATATATGAAATAATGGTGTTGGCCTGAAATTCTGTCTATATTTGCATACATTATTGCATGTCATTTCCTCTATATCTTTAATTAACAAAATTGCGCTTCCCATCCAACCCGCTACGTAATCAAAGGGTTTTTTTTTCATTCAAAAAAATTGTATGATCCCCGCTATATACAAACTGTCACTACATTTCCTCAAAAAATGGATCTGAAATTAGACCTGGATGGTCATAAAGGTTTGGAAACAGAAAACCTCAAGTGTCAGGATCTGGTAACTGTACTTTTATTTTTAATCTTCGTCCATAGATAATCCTTTTGATCCACGAGAAATATTACTGGTAATATCGCGACCATCCTCATGTTCTTTTAATGTCTTTTGGAAACTATGTCATGTTATGCAATTCAAAAGTGAAACAGTCAGTGTTTTTTGACAGGATGACAAAACATCCATCTTTATTTTCCTTATACGATCCTATAAATATCAATTAATTCCGACGTTTATCAAAACAATTTAAAGATTTCTTTTGAGCAATGAACATTATAATGTCTAAATAGAGAAAATATGTTTCAAACAAAATCGATAACAACAAAAATGCCAAGAAAGATTGTGTTTCAATAAATCGCCGGATGTAGATTTCGAAGCGTCTGTTGTGAGCCCGGAAATTCCCCAGACTCTTACATCCTTCATGCATTTGCCTCCAAAATATCAAATTTCAGAAAATCACATTTTTTTTCACTCCAGTCTTGCGGTTTTGTATTTCTTTATTCTTTTCTCTGAATCATGAATTTTAATAACTATAATCTAACTTTACTTAAAGAGAATCTCATACCAAAAGAAACGAGCTCTATTTCTAAAGTATTGTGTAAAATTTTAGGAAATCTTTAGCTCCGTTCGTGAGAATTTTCATTTGATTGCGATTTTCTATCCCTTGATTTTGTTAAATGTCGGCGATGTCGCCAAATTTTCTGGATCTTTGAAGAAAAGTATCACTGGTGTAACCCCATAATGTGTTTAGGTAACAATTTACTGCTGTAATGCGGTGAAGAACTATCAAATATTCCTATTAACGGAATAAATGGACGATTAAAGTTTCAAAGATATCGACGTCAGCTTTTGCCTTAATTATTGGACATTTATTCTTTGAAACTAATCTTATCCAAGCTGCGAGTCGATGAGATTTGTTTACATTGATTCAGAGTGAAATTTATTTATATTGACTGTATCAGTTACTCGATGGCGTGACGATGTGCATTGTGGGTACATAATGAATTGTTCCCCGCAGTTTAACTTCCATTTTTCCCGTAATTTGGTCGAAGTCGTCGTCGCAACAGGGTAGACAGCATGCAACTAACGTTGATATATAGTATATTCTCTGTAATAGGCAAAATAGCAGGAACACTAAGCGAAACTTCATTTTACCGGGGAAGGGCGAAAATTTCGTGGGCGAAAATATCACGATATACGGTATGTCTTCGTTTAAACTTTGTTAAATGAAACTTTGTCTTTGCATACTGTATAATCTAAAAAAGTGAATCGGACATATTTATGATAAGCCAAGTGACCAAATCACCAAACACTTTGTAATCGGTTCCTTAATCATTTAACAAGGACACATACCTGTTAGTACAATACATGTAGCAATCTGTCCGATACTTCATAATCATTAAAAGAAAACAACGCATACAACATAATATACTATCTTCTTCCGAAGCAGTTAAAATCATTCTAGTCTTCTATAGTAGTCGTCGTATTTCCCTCTAAGAATCGTGAAAATCGTCGTATTTCCCGCTCAGAATCGTTGTGTTGCCCTTTTGTGATGACATTATCAATCTTTTTCGTAACGCTACCAGATCCTGAATGTCATAACTTAGACTGTTTCCAGTACCCGTATAATAAATCTAACAATGATGGTACGATATCTTCCACATCCAGTGATTGACCTTCAATCTATTTTTGAAATGTTCCTTTCGATATAGCGACCAGGTGACCTTCATCTAACATGACGCCTTCACGTTGAACTGAAATATTAACAACGTTCCGAAAATATACCATTTTGCCCACTTACCCGCCTTTGCTCTTTCCAGAAGTGTCAGTTAGCATTTGAAACAAAGAGATTAGTATGTTTTATTGCGTTGTTCGGATTTAGTTTTAATGGTATGAGTTCTCCGTACACGTGTTTCATTTGGCCCGGTTGAGGAAGAGGTCATTTTTGTAATTAGTATCACTGGAGCTTCATTAGTGGAATACAATGGCAGTGCGATTGTTGCCGGTTATAGCCTCTTTGACGAGATTCCTGACAATCCTACCCACCAATTCTAGTTTTCTGTCATGGCCCTATGATAGGAATCCCAGATCAGCATATCTTGATTTCTTTGAAACCATTCCTAAACGACCCCACAAATTAGCGCGACTTGTCATAAATCCGGCTTTATTGAAATTGTTCTGGGGTTCCTAAGCCTTGACCACATGGGGTCATGACTCGGGTCATTGGTCATTTGTGAGGTATGAGGAACATTACCTTTGTGGGAATTAATTTATGGGGCTTGACCATGTCAAATGAATCATCTATGTCCCAGGGGAGTCCTAATGAAAGAAAATATAATTCAATTCCAAATTCAATGATCATTTCGACATGCGCTTTGTCTGTTGTCGTAACGAAGTTAATCTTGCCCTGTCCTTGTCTCGTGAGCACGCGCAGCGCGGAAGAGTACTGTGAGCTTAACGTCTTGTGGTCACTCTAGTATTGTGGTAGTGGTCAATTTCAGTTAACCGAAGTGACCAGTGATTTCCTATGTAATATCATGTCTACTTTACTTGACCATTTTCCCGTGAATGGACGATCCTTCACTTAAATGATTCATTATTACAGAGTGGTCACTTCTAGCTTTCCGTGGCGGTCACTTCCTGAGTGCGTGAGTGTTGAATTGACCTGGATATTGGTCATGAACGTTCCTTTTAAATAAACATGTGTGATATTATACATTTCTATCAAAAGTAGTATATCCAAATTCCGCAAAAACAACCACGGTGAAGAAACATGCGTTTCTGACAGAAATTGTAAACAAGATCAAAAGATTAAAAATTGGAATCTTTCCCATAAAAATGAATTCCGTAGATTAGTTAGTGATGTTTTCTGAGCTAACTTAAAACACTTGTTGGCTCCGACGTGATGATGCTTTAGTCGAGGACGCTTACATTAATTTGATATGAATAAAACTCAGCCTAAAATATTGATATTTAATCCTAGAATTAACTTGATAAAAGGGAAAAGATAATATTATTCAAGGAAACCTTTACTTTTTGTCTCTGTTTTTTGTTTTTGTTAAAGGACGGGTGTCTTTAACGCCGATTTATGACCCCCAAGATTTGCGATTTTTGATGAACACAGTAGTGCTTTGTTGTATTTTATGCGAGAGTTGCTAGTGAAATACTCAGAGACATTCCATGTGTTAGTGCGATATAAGAAAAATAATTTCCGGATTACGAGAATTGTGTCCATTCTGTCATTATAATGCCATAATTCTTCAATAACTTCCTTAAAATTAGATACGTTTTTTTGTATTTTAACATAAAATCTGCCAGAAAAAAATATTGAGCAAAACATAGCGGCATTCAAATGGCCAAAATTACGGCCTTAGTGGGACCTTTTCTTTTAAAGGAAAAGTTTCTGTTGTAAAAATTACAGAAACGTTTTTACTTACTAAGATGGTGATCCCCGATGGTGTCCTTAATAGAAAACTTACAATGCTTTTGCGATCATCTCTTTGATCAGAGGTCGAAGCTGGTGGGGTCTGATCAGCCTGAGGTGGCAATTTCTTTGTGTCTGGAGCATACGCTGAATATTTGTAAAGTACTGTCAGCTTAACACGTTTTAACTATAATTTTAAAAAATGACTTTAAACTGTCTTTTATAAAACTATAAAGCATATGAATGTCCTATTTGTCCCTACTACTTAGCAACAACAACGAAAATTCAGGGTGTTTTTTTGTATGAAAGGGAACTCCTTAAATTACAAGCGTCCCTGACGGAACACAAACTGTTCAAGATGTGGCAAATATCAGGTTAAGCTTTCAATGTTTGGTAAATTAAACAATTATGGATATTAATATAATATGATAGCAAAACTCGAGACACATGCTAAAGTTTTTTGTCCTTCAATAATTACGCTTATTTGTTCTAGACTAATTAGGTTTACCAGTGAATACTCACACATATTTAATAAACAGCGTGACGCAACTGGAAATGAAGTGGTTTCCGAGCAGATAACGTAGACCATACATTGTCATCAACAATGGTACTAGTGTATATGTCAGAACACTGCGAGCTACCGTTAGAAAGCCCGTCACGAAATGCACATGTAAAATATCAAACTTTAAAACAATCGTTCTCTACCTAAGGTTCTTCTCCGTATAGCCGACTTTGATCAGGACCGGTTTAGATCAAAGAGAAATCATGTTTCTTATTTTAAACTTATTGGGTCTCCCTTGATCCCTTTACCCTTCTTTGCTCTATGATTTATATTTGCCACGGCGTGATAGATTGGCTAGCTACTTCTTGTCAACAATGACCTTGAATATGTCAGCTTAAGCCGTACTGATCACCGGCGGAGCGTCTTACGATCCAGTAGTGATTAGTCACATCACCAGGTCAACGCGCTCAAGGATACAAATATTATATCTATGGCATGGCAGCGACAGGGCTGTCGGTCTGGACAGTTCATTGCTATGTGATTTTCGTTTGTCTGTTTTATAACTTATTCGATTAGTAATTCTAAAATTATTTTTCATATTCATTTTATAATCTCATGACCTATTCTTTTGATGGAGAATTTGTCCGAAATTATTGTATTTTAATTGCATCTCTGATCAATCTTTTTTGAAAAGAAACCTTGTAAAGTGAGATCATTCAAGGGAAGTTGCACGATTGCAGCTATAAAAATCAGTGAATGTGACTGTAAGTTCACATCACTTAAGGGGAATACTCTCCATTGGGAAAGGGATCTTTGACGGAGTTGCAATGGAAAATGATTTTGAGATGTTCTCTGATTTATTTCGTTTCAGTGTCCGTTCCTGCGCTACGTGCTAGGTCTACCCCAGGACGAGTGATATCTAATGCTTCATATGCGTAGATCTTTGGTCGATACTACAGTGAGCTCTCTGTGTAAGTAATATAAGAAAGCATTGCTGTAAATCACGCGGGTTACGTGAGCTTTTTTTCCCCTAGAGCTTATTCTCGAGGAGAGACGATTTCGTGATTTCAAGTTGTTTGTTTGTTTGTGTGGTTTTACGTCCGCTTCACTACCGAGGAGGTCGGTTATCCAACAGACGAACACGTGAATTCAAATATCCCGCCAACTTTTATAGAGACACAATTAAACAAGAAATTTATAAAGGTTGTTGTTCCTAAGTGAATTAAAATCCACGGAAATGCGTCTATCTAAACAGAGGTGCATTTACGTTTACGCGGATTATCATACATGTATAAATAATAATTGAAGCAATTTTTTTGGCGGAAAATATTCAACAAGTTTGCATATTTCACGACAAAAAAATCAATTATTACAGTAATATTTATATTTTTGACAATGTTTTGTTTTTCTTCCTCACATGTACAATAACAATGCAACATGACAGAGTAGCTGTTGAATTTATATTTAAAGAAGATTGTTTTTTCATTTCTCGATGTGAAACCTTGAGAATAAGTGTTTAAAGAAGGAAATTTAAGAAAATGTATCGCTAAAATTATATTACTTACAGAACATAAAGATCCATTGGAACAATTAATAGTCACGTGACTTTCGATCCGTTATAATTACCGTCGAAATATTTCACTGTATTCTAAAGTACACATGTACCGTGTAAGTACATGTATTCAGTTTCACTATTATTAGTGTCGTGGAGAATACCCCTCAAACCTACAATTGTCAAACGAAATAATACATATGTCATTTTAATAACAAGTTTCGTTTACAGGAATTTAATAAAAAAAAAAGACAACGTTCTGGGTTCTATTTTGAGATTGTGTCGTGAAGAAATTGCTTTTTTGCGTTTCACAGAAACCTGCCTCTGTACTCTCAAATCGTTTGGGATGAAAGGTTTCCTTAATTTGGTTCCCGAGGGTCTTCCTGTAATGATAGCTGACTAGCAGACTGACATTCGGGGCTTTCCTACTGTGGCCTGTGAGAGCAGCGACTTCAGATGGTAAGATACATCCAGTTAAAACAATTATTGAGCTTAAAGACGTCTCCAAATTTAATCTTGGTTATCCACAATAGATTTGTTTGAGAAACATTA